TTTGTCATTTTGCCAGATTTTAGCCAGGCCTTAGGAATGACCAGAAAGAAACACAAAATCACTCGACTAAATAATGCCGCACCACACAAAATTGAGAAGAAACCTGAAACTGAAAAGATGTGTTGAAATGTGATTTAGAAGCATTTTTTGACATTGAGATAAAATGGTCAATTTTTACGTTGTTGAAAAAGAAACCGTTATTAAAAAATGTTATATATTAATTGTGAAATATTTTTATAAATGTATATGTAGTCAGTGAAACATGTTTTAGTGTTTATTAAACTCATTTGATCATCGTCTGTTTTCTTTTAAAGTCTTTAACTTCGATATATTAAGTCTTGAAGGGCAAATATTAAAATCATAGGGCATATAATCCAATTTATATAATTAAATAATTCATAAAGCATATAATTCAGTAAATATGACCATATTAATTACATAAAAAATTAACAGCTGCATTGGATAATTAAAAACAAATATTTTTTAAGCCTTGTTTGTTTAACTTGAACAAGAAAAAATATTCAACCTAAACCATTAAACAAAATTTAACTTTCTCAACATCAGCATATTGGTACAACAACAACTTTTATTTTTTTGTGATTGTATTTCTTGAAAAGTAATGCTTCAATTAATAAACTGCCAGAAAGAACCTCATATTTCCAAGCGGAAAATGGCTGTTTAGAATTAGAAGGTTCCATCTGCATTTGCCCTGTTTTGTTTACCCCAGTTTGCAAATTTAAGAAAATGTTGATAATTTACATTTTGAGTACATTTAGATTCTCTGTCATGTTAATGTATGAAAGAGAACTGTTACATGCATATTGAGTGCTGATATAATTATAACCTTATAATTCCAAGGTGACGGCATGTGTTTATAAACAAACAAATATGTATATAAAATGCATATTTGACCTTAGAACAAAAAAACTGGTATTTTTTGTCAATAGCATTGTTCGCGTCAATATCATCTAAATGATTTATTTTCTTTTATGCCAAAAACATTAGAATATTAAGCAAAGATCATGTTCCATAAAAAACATTTTTTTGTGATTTTTCTACTTTAAATATATCAAAACATATTTTTCTTACTAATAAGTATTGCTAAGAACCCTAATTAAAGACAAATTTATAGGTGCCATATACTGCATTGATTTAATTAGTCAAATTGTTCTCTGATATCTACATAGTAGGTTTACAGTTTTGGTAAACGTTTGCAGAATTATTTATTACTTCATAAAATACCCATAGAGTCAGAAGGTCCATGATTGACCATATATGGCTCGCATCGTGAATATTAATGAGCTCCTCTCTGACGTGCAGCTATTACAGACTCACACACAGCCGGATGTACACTGAACACGGACACATATAAACCCAATTAGAGTAACATTAACCTATTTTGCTCACCAGATCTGTTGTGGATTAAGGCTAAATTATAATAGGGTATATATCATAAACTTCTGGTGAATGGTTAATGTGACTTTTTTCAGTTGTATACGGTTCCTTTTACAGCATCGATGTTGTTACGTAATTCAAATATAATCAGTTGAATAGACTTCAGCATTTGTTTAGTTGTTTAAGTGTAAAATGAGATGAAAAACCGATTGCATGCATGTGCCTGTCTGGATTTGCAGTCTAGTTTAGAAGCTCCATTGAATATACCGGGGTAAAATAAATGTTCATATTTTAAAGACATGACGCGGAAAAAATGTAATTTAATGCTTCGTGTACAGTCTGAGACCTACTTTATTTTGTTTACAAAAAAAAAACAGACCTTAAACACGCCGATTTTGTAACTGCATACAGTTTACCGGAAGCACTTGACCCAGGTTACTGAAGTCTTTTTGCATACTTCTGCATACCATATTAAACTTAACAAAAGAGAGAGATAAGAGTTGTATGGGGTTGTATTTTGAAGCTATAGTCAAAGAAAACACCTCCAGGAGTTAATATGAACCACTGCATGAACAGATGAAGTTAAGCTGTGTGGTTTGACATGATTCACCAGTCTACATGTGTTTGCTGAAACACACGCATCAAATTTCACAATAAACACGATAAATTAACAAAAAAAATGCAACTAAACATATCTTATGCCTCCTCAGAGTGGACATGAATAATTGTATAATCTTTAAATCTTGCATATTGCATCCTGAGACCAGTTTTTGCCTTGTGCTGTCGTTAACCAGTAACGCACAGTAAACACACACTAATGTTCTACTGACCACCGCTCTCTCAGTTCCATCATCCAATAGAGATAATTTCTCTCTGTGTCTCTCTGTGGCAGGAGCACTTCATGGAGGTCATGAGGCATCAGGAGTTTCTGCTCTTGCCCTCATGTGAAGTGGAGAAGCTTTTAGCGTCTGATGACATGAACGTTCCAGAGGAGGAAACCGTGGTAACAGCACTACTCAGCTGGGTCCGTCATGATGTGACCACCCGTCAGTCACAGCTTTCTGCACTTCTTGCTCACATCCGCCTTCCCCTGCTTAAACCACAGGTCAGCCAACCGTCAGTCCACCCGTCCATCCATCCATCCATTCATCAGTGAACGAGTCAGCTAGTTCTTTATTCTGCTGTGCTGTCAGCTTGATCGCTATCCCTGTAAATCCACAGAAAATCATTAATCTGCATTAATTAGCATATCAGCCAATCAGTTAATTGAAAGATCAGTCAGTTATTCGGTCAGTCAGGGTAATTAATGCTCACATGCTTGAAGTTTTGCAGTAGGGGGCTGAACAGCCATTAAGCTTTGTCAGAGGCTTTTTTGTTTTAAAGGGACTTTATTGGCGGTATTATTGTACGGTTCGGTTTAGTACACATTCATGGCCGTGTCCACTGTCAAAAGGCATACCGAACTGAACCATACCGTACCACTTTTTCGGCACCCTTTCGAAAGGGTACCAAACAGGAGAAAGGGTTTACCGAGATACGCCATTCGCTTACGCAACAAGCCAGAATGTAAACAAAAGAGCTGCCATGTTTAAAATACACAGCCGAGAGATTACTGCGGACTTATATATGCATATAATAACGAAACATGGTCGACCCGGGTTTAAACAAACCTTGTCGTCGTCTCAATGAACAGCCACAAAGCCAAAAAGAAGAGCAGATACCCTGTGCCTCGCTGTTTTTTACGAGCCAGTCTGATGCGCGAGCGGTTTCGCTTTCTTCCTTGCACTCGCCGCACATCTAAATCTGAAATAACAAACTTCTTGAGCGGATGATAATAACGTGCACTTAATTATTGACGTGCTTTTAAATCCGATACTGTGAGAAGCTGACAACGTGAGTGTGAAACTTTCAGAAAGAAAAGGACAAACGCGAGAGTGAAGCGCGGAAAAAAAGGAGAAGCCGGAACATTTTTTTTTTAGCAAACGTGAACAAACTGCCATGTTTACCTATTATTATTATCACCATTTGGACTAATATATTATGAACTAAGAATGATGGAATTGCTCTCTAACAGAGGCTACATGTGCTGCTGAAGATTACAGACACAGATGAGAGGTTTGCGCTGACTGTGGGCTATGTGCGTGTTGTTTTTGAACCTAAATAAAGGCTAATGTTAAATGTATGCTCTGTGTAGTTTTTCTGTAGTTGTTAACATGTAGGAGACTGTAAGGGGCTGTATGTGTTCATGTATGCTGCGTTTATTTATTTATTTTATATAATTACAGACGTTACAGTAGGCTATTTCGCACTGTCATTGATCTGCAGTTATAATCAACTCATGTTCATAGAAAAGTTAGTAAAAAACATTTATACACAAGTTTTTATGTGTGTAAAGCATCTGTTTTGTGAAAAGTGCTTCTCATATATGTAAACGACCCATATGACTTTACTGTAGACATTTTCTCGAGTGAGAATGACGTAGACTGAAACTTCTGTGATACACCATGCCCACCAAAAGGGTACCCTTGGTAGTGGAAATGCAAGCCTGATAAAGATGACCAGTACCAACCTGAACCGTACCGTACTGTACCAGTCAGTGGAAACGAGCCATATGTCAGAAAGTTTCATTTGTAGCGACAACGGTGGCCATAAAGTGAACTCCGGTCAGCAACTTTTTCCTAATGCTTGCACCAGATTATGTGAGCAGAGAAAGGAGTGAGAATTTTAGCTGGATGTTGGAGCAGTTTTTTTTAAAAAGTCGGCATGTCATGTTTTTCCCTCCACCACCGTTCCATCCTAAACACAACATGTATGTAACTTTGATGATTAAGTGTACAACCAACCTTTTTTTTCGTTCTGATATTTACAGCTTCTAACAAAAGATCCATTAATAAAATGCATATTCTACAAATCAAACAAATGTGATGGGCTACTGAAAAATAAACAGCATCCTAATGCATAATGATCACTGAACAGTAAGCTGATGCTTTTATTCTATGTATAAACTTTATATAAAACATGAAGTAATGTAAATTAATGCAGTAATATATGCATGACACCTCATTTTACTGATCCCCCTACTCAACTGCCCTCCTCCCCTGTCCGCTGTTCACTTTTACTTTCTTAATTAACTCCCCAACCCTCTTCACTTTCATCCGCGACACTCCCGCCCCGCTCACACCCCTATGCCATCCACCGCACCAAAACCCCCAGTCTTTAGTTTCGTACACGACACCTCTCCATCCTTGAGTGACATGCTCACATGCCGGATCCGTTACCCTGATCTGTTTCAAGACCTCGCAATTCACAGATTAAGCACTGACTATATTTAACTATTATTTAGAATACTTTAAATAAAAGTTAACACAGCTGCCTTGTGTTTTTTGAAAAGACAGAGAAAATGAAAGTACACAAGTGTTGAGGTGAAATCAAATCTTTAAAATAATGACTTGTATTAAGACTACCAAGGCGTTGAACTACCATAGTGGTCAAAATGACCGCATTTATTTCAGAATGGTTGACCAGAAGGTTCGTATTCCTAATAAATGCTTTGGTTTATAGTTTCTATTAATTTCAGCACAATTGTAGCTCATTAGTTTGTAATGTTTTTCAACACCAAAATAGCATATTTAAAGAAAGGTTTAAAGCATCCTGTGATACTTAAGACTGGAGTAATGGCTGATACAAAAATCACATATTTTTTCTTGAAATAAAAACAAGTATTTTTATACAGTGATCATATTTTAAAATAAATACTTTATATATTTATCAAATAAATGCACGATTAGTATTCATGAAGCACTTTTTGTACACGTAAATGTTTAAGTTTTTAACCTGAAAGAGAAAACTTGCTGTGAAAAAAGACTTCTGTAATTTTCACTAGAGAATTCAACCTGTGCTTGTATTCCATTTTAAATTGCATGTTACATGTGTTAATGCGTAAAACTGAGCATGTGCTGCTAGAAGCCTTTGCATTCATGTTCCTGTGTATAGCACTGCTGTTTGGCCTTACAGTATGTCTGGTCTTTGTGTGTGTATGTGTGAAGGTCAGTGTTATTATGCTGGACTCTGAGGCTGTGCACTCAATGATGGGATGCATTTGGAGCCCGGGGAGTGTGATAAGGATGTTCCAGCATCTCTTTTTACCTTATCATGTTTTCCCCTTCTTATACAGATACGTACAAAACACTCAAAAACTGAAATATTATTATTATTATTATTATTATTATTATTATTATTATTATTATTATTATTATTATCATCATCATCTTAAAATTGCTTATGCCTTTTGCAGTGCAGGTCTGTGGGACATAAATATTTACAAAAATTGTAATAATGTAAATTAATTTGGATTCATAAAATTTAAATATTTTTGTTAATATCTGTGGTTCTAAATAAAAAAAGCATTATGTTGCTAATATATTGTTTAACAGAAATTTAGCAGAATTAAAACAAGAATTTATATATTTTTATATAAATTATACCAAAATATAGAACATACCATTATAATGCACAAAGCTTGCATGACTACAGAATACATTTATTATTTATTTTCTTTAACCAAGTATATATATATATATATATATATATATATATATATATATATATATATATATATATATATATATATATATATATATATATATATATATATATATACATACATACATACATACATACATACATACATACATACATACATACATACATACATACATACATGTACATATATATATATATTGAGATTAAGATCTCATTTACAAGGTTAACCTGGCCAAGAGGTCTTCAACACACTTCTATAAAATAAAAGATAGGAATAATACCACTTAGTCTTTCAAGCAATTTGAATTAAATATATTAAAAACCACTACATTGAGCAATAAATTCTTGTTGCCTAGTGTTAAGGATAGATTCTGATTATAATGGAAGGGTGTTTGTGGGCCTTAATAGAGTCTAAATGGGCTATATGCACACAGACTTTTAATTTTCTGCCAGGCAGCCCAGCGGCTTCCGATGAACTGACTTTCCATTACAAAACTGTCACATTTAAGATCTGATTTCTTTAAAAACCTGCGATCTTTACTGCCTGATGGATATACGAAATGAAGTGGGTCTCGGATCGGACAAGACTGCGTTAAATTCCATTTCCCTCTGCCATGTCTTTGAAATATGACAGTTTATTTTATCCTTATATTTTCAGGGGAATTTTACACTAGCCTGTTGCTACTGATGGCGCTAGCGGTTACAACAGTCTTTCATAACATTTTACACTTGAGCAACTAAATGAATGCTAAAGTCTATTGAACTGAATGTATTGTAATTACATTACAACATTGATGCAAATGAAAACAACCTTAACCTTAAAAATAACTAAAATAGTCACATTAGGCTTTCACTGGAAGTTTATCATCAACTTTAAAACTCTAGGTGTGCATAGAGCCCAGTCACTTTTACACAAAGGTCTTTCATCAGAGCAGACTTCTTATATTTACAGTCATTGTGTTAAATGTTGCATTTAATGCAATTAATATATGATAATATATTTTTTTAAAAATTCATTAATTTTCCTTTCAGCTTAGTCCTTTTATTAATCAGGGTTCGTCACAGCAGAATGAACCGCCAACTTATCCAGCATATGTTTTGCGCAGTGGATGCCCTTTCAGCTGCAACCTATCACAGTAAAACACCCATGCACTCTCATTTACACACATACATTTTAGACAATTTAGCTTACCCGATTTACGTATAGCGCGTGTGGGAAACCAGAGCACCCAGAGGAACATGGAGAGAACATGCAAACTCCACACAGAAATGCCAACTGACCCACCCAGATTTGAACCAGCGACCTTCTTGCTGTGAAATTTAATAATAATAATATAGTATAAATAATATATTTTATAATATATTTGAACTATAATATAAATTATATATAATAAAAATTACAATAATAATAGCATATTATTATATTATATTATTATATTATATTAATTTCTAAACATTCTAAAACCAAGTGATACAAGTTGAGCATGTGGAGTGTTGTCTTATGAGAAACTGATGAACAAAATGTATTCAGAATTTGCTTAAAAAATAACAAATAACAGAGGG